TTTTCAGTGTCAACATCTTTCCATAAAAGCTTTATACTTCGTGAATAACTTAATACTAAAGCTTCTGTTGGTCCACAATATTTCATAAAAGGAAACCTTTTTTCTAAACAATGCAGAAAGCTTCCAATGACTTCATCTTGAAGCCAGCCTTTTTGAACATGAATATTTTTTTTTTTGATTTTTTGCAATAAGTCTGAAGAAATTATGTTTTCAAGTGTCGAGAGAGAAATAAAAGAAAGTTGGTGAGGATCATGTCTAAAAATATTTAGATATTTAAATGAACTATTTTACATAAAAAAAAGAAAATTGCTTATTCTCATTTCCTAATTATCGATTTTTTACACGTAAGTTAGAATACATTTGGTATTTTGTATCATGTTACCATTATACTATTAACTTTTAGTCATATATTCATTAAATGTTAAAAAATTACCATAACAAACAAAAATAAATAGAATAAAATAAACTATGAATCATAGAACATGGACATAAAGTATCCTTGCAGGAGCAATTACCTAACAAGAGTACTATAAAGTCACTAGTTTTAATGTCATCACATATTATTGCAATTTCTTCATTATGCATTATATCGATGTTTTTCTGACACATTTTTATAACTAATTCCTCTTTTTGGTGTTGTTCAGGATATTGGTATGGTCTTATTTTCCTTTTCCTCTTATCTTTTCTTGTTTTTCTGAACTTATTAGGCCGCCAATGAACTTTCTTTACAGGTATCTTGTAAAATGTCAACTTTATACATTATATCTTTTGATTGGCTTTTCACAGTGTACTTAGTTGATGAACATTTAAGAACACAGTCATCTGAAATTAACATTCCTTTTTCATCACGTTTTTTAAACTTTTTAGGAAGAGATATAGTTCCTAGATAAATGTTGTCTCTTTTGTGTCTCCAATAATCATCTTTGATTATTGGAGACACAAAAGAGACAATAATAATCATCCTTGATTTTCAAAAGTATTTCGATCAGATCATCTAACCTTTTATTGGGTCGCCTATCCATATAAACTGTCTTCAATTTATTATGGAAGGATTCAAGCAACATGTTTGTGTCAGTATCTGCATGCTGAAAGTTCCGATAACAAGAAGCCCACTTTTCATGTCGAGAAGTATAGTATGTTAGAAAGTAATTTACAAAATTAGGCCATATCTTTTCATATGTCTTGACAAAACTATTCATAATTGATGTAAAAATCTTTGGATCATTTTCATCTATCATTGTCTCTAGGATTTGGTAAATTTCTTCTTGTAAATGAGCAGTACCAACTAAAGGAATTTTACTATGTCACTCACGCTTTACATGCAATTTGCATAGCAAGTGAGGCGTATCTCCAAAGACTTTAGAAAAAAGCATTCCAGAAATAATATGATTATGTGGTTTTATGTAACACACATTTGTGGTTCCATTTGTTTTTATGTTAACGATCATTCTAGCAGGACAGAAAGCATCTGATTTCACACTAACTCTCAAGTATCTTTTATTTGTTTTTCTTGGAGGTTCTATTGCAGAGCGATGTGGCTTTGAATGACCATCAACTTGACAAATAAAGTAACTTGTTTTTGTCTCTTTGCTGCTTTGTTTACTTCCTGTTTGTTTACTGAAAAATACATAATTATTATTTTCCTCTTTTTCTTTCCATGTTAAAAACTCTAACTCTGAGGAAAACTCATAGGTTTCTGTAAAAAACTCTTATGATACTCTTCTATATGCTTAATCAATTTTATTTTTTGGAAAAAAACTTGACTACAGTTTTGATAATAGCAAGGAGTTCTTTTCCCTCTACACTGCTTGTCAGCAAACATGACCTTATGCATCAGCAATGTATGCCTTTTTAAACTATCTTTTCTTGAAAATGATCTCATACAAATGGAACATGTAAAACTAAATATCAAAATTTTCGTTAAACTAAATTGAAAGTAGTTATATTTAAGATATTTGAAAAATAATTCACTTAGGTGTTTTCATAGGGCACAACTAAGCATCAGATAAAATAGTTAAGGGATTGAAGGAAGATGCTGTACAAAAAATAAGTTCAAATTAAACATTAAGTTTTTTAGAAAAAAACATTAAAGCACACAATTAATTTAAAAAACTAATGAAATCTTTGACAAAATAAAGTAAATTAAAAATAAAGTACTATTAAATATAATATATTATAATAATATATATTAAAAGGAAACTAACTTATTCAAATCAAATTATCACGAAAAGAGTTACTCTTTTAAAAGAAACTTTGTTTAAGAGTATAATTACTCATATGAAAAATTGTGCTTATACACTAGCACAATATAGAAACAAAAGACTTGCTTGTGAACAAAAAAATATCAATAAAAGGAGACTTAAACATTTTGAAAAAGTTTACAAATAAAAGACTTTCCCAAAAAAACAAGATATTTTTCAATGGAGATAGAATTGCAAATTAAAATAATTAAAAATAGAAGCAAAATAGGAAAACACTAACAATAGAAAATAATAAGACTTTTTTGAAAAAATCTTGTAAGGAAGACTTTCTCTTAACTCACAAAGGGAAAACTGCGTCTCACGAGTAACAGTTTTATTATAAGGAGACTTATGCACTTCAAAAAACTTTACAAAAGGATAAATTTGTTTCACAAGTAACAATTTCATTATAGGGAGACTTACACATTTGAAAAATCTTCAGAAATAAACGATATCATCTCACATGAAATAATTTCATTAAGGGGAGACTTACACACTAAAAAAAAATTCTCACAACAAATAGTTTAATGAGGGGGAGAATTACACACTTCAAAAAACTTCACAAAGTGTATATTTTGTTTCACAAGTAAAAATCTTATTATAGGGAGACTTACACATTCAAAAAAAGATTAGACATTTGTGTTCTAACACAGTTAGAAAATGAACTGTTAGTAACAGGTTCATTTTTTTTTTCTAATTGATTCAAAAGTTTTTGAATCAAATATTTTTATTCGTTTCGTTCATTGTTAAACTCACAAAAGAGAAAAACCTATTTTATAAATTAGCTTAAAAAATAACCTTGTGAAAGTTTTAACTTTTCCATTTCATTTTCTGCATAAGAAGCATTTTTTACTCAGATTTTAGTTTTAAGCGCGAGAATAATTTTGCACAATTTTTAGGCGGGTCAATCATACAGGCTTAAAATGTTTGCGTGTGTAATTCTCCCCTACGTAAAACTCAAGGTTCTTGAGGTTCTTTAAAGAACCTATGAGTTCTTAATATTATCTAATGGTTCTCTGAAGAACCGGCGGCATATATATATATATATATATATATATATATATATATATATATATATATATATATATATATATATATATATATATATATATATATATATATATATATATATATATATATATATATATATATATATATATATATATATATATATATATATATATATATATATATATATATATATATATATATATATATATATATATAATATATATATAATATATATATATATATATATATATAATATATATATATATATATATATATATATATATATATATATATATATATATATATATATATATATATATATATATATATATATATATATATATATATATATATATATATATATATATATATATATATATATATATATATATATATATATATATATATATATATATTCAGCAAATCCCAATCACTCAAACCAATAAATTAGTTTGAGTTAGCGAATGTTTGAATTATCAGAACATTCTATATGTCAAAGTATCTCTTTTGAGTAATATGGAGAAAATCGAATAAATTTGATTTCATGAAAGAAGAATAATCACTTTAATAAGATGTTGTGCTATTCTCCTTTTAAAGATTTATAGATAAAATATCAGCTACTGGGACAAATAAAATAGTTTGACTTATCAGGTGAATGTTCGAGTTATCAGGGGCTTGAGTTATGAAGTGATTTTTATGAGAAATTGTTAGTGAGGGTTCAAAAAAAACTTAAAAGTATTTCAAGTTATCCACAGTTCAAGATATCAGGAGTTCACTGTTGTCAATGATGTTTTTGATAAAAAAGAAACTATTTGTAAATGTAATGCTAGTAATATAAATTGGATTCAGTTTCATTTGCACGATACATTTATTTTATCTTTATAAAAAACTGAAGAAAATTCTTTTTTTTTCAAAATATTATTCAATTATGACAACTCTAGGAATTTTGTAATAAGCTGTTAATTTGTGACTTATGCATTCAGAGTTAAAGAGCATGAATCTTTGCCAATATGCTTGCCAAATAAAGTTTGTGAGTATCAAATGCTTGATAGATATATACTACAAGATGGCTGCACCTCTATTACTCTTAGATACTTGTGTTTTAAATAACTTTTTCTATGTGAATATTTTGTTATTTAATTAAAGCACAGTAAAAGGAAAAGTGTAATAATAATCTTAAGAAAGTCAAATCCAAATAAAATTTTTTAAATGTTTATTATTATTTGTTTAATAAAACAATTATTTAAAATAGTATAAATAGCAAATTAAAAGCTTTTTATAAACACGGTTGTTTTTATTTAAATTGATTGGTTTAAATCATTTTATTTTTTATTTTTTTATTTTTTATTTTTTTAAATCGATTTAAATTATGATTTTAATCAGACAAATAAAAATCATAATTTAAACTTTTTTGATTCAAATTTTTTTAATGATTATTTATTAATTCATCAACTTAAAGTAAATTACACTAGCTAAATATAACTACTGAATAAAATAGTATTAGTTATAATAGTCAGATAATGCATTATAAAATATGTAATAGTCATATAAGTCATTAAGTTTTTTAATTTATTGTAAGATTTTTATCCATTTAAGTAAATGTTTTCTTCTTCATGTCTTAACTTATTGACTAATTACATTATTTTTGCTTTTGTTACTATCTATATAATAAATATAAATATATTTCTTTTATAAAAGAGTATTTTCAATTTTTTTTTAATTACAATATTCATTTATAAATGTTGTTTTTTAGTTGTAAATAAAAATAAAATAACTAGAAATAAAAATGTCTGGTGCCGGTAGAAAAATGCAGTTATGAAAAACGGTTTGAAGAAATACCTGCAAAGTTTGGTAAAAAGGGTAATAAAGCTAAATGTAAAAGCTGTGGTGTACAAATGCAAGGTTTGGTTGCTCGAATGAGATACCACAAAATGTAATTTTGGTAAATGTAATTTTCTGAAAGATGTTTAAGATAGAGAAAACATTATTATTTGTCAAGACAAATATCAACCAGGCAACTGAAGAACCACAAGCTAGTCAATGTTCTGTAAAGAAAACTGAATATAGCCAATCTGTTTTGTTCCCATGTTGTTGTGAGTTTCTATTTAATATTTCCAAAATATTTTACACTCTGTTATATATATATATATGAAGTCTACAAGTCTACAAAAAGTTAAACTCTTATTATATTCTCAACTATATTATTTTGCATATTTAAATATTAAAGAAATGAAATGACACTGAGATTTGGTAAAGATCTATATAAAGAACTGCATCAAACGATAAACTTTATATGCAATCTAATGTAGCAAAGTTAAAATTTAAAGCATATTTAAAAATTTGGTTAATATTAAATTAGTCAATTATTGCTATATAAATGATATAAAGATTTGAAATATGACCTTATATATATATATATATATATATATACATATATATATATATATATATATATATATATATATATATATATATATATATATATATATATATATATATATATATATATACACACACACACATATATATATATATATATATATATATATATATATATATATATATATATATATATATATATATATATATTTGTTCCACAACTTTAGTCCTCGGTTTACAATAGAGAATTTAGTAGCGGAATAATAAGTATTGGAAATCTATTAGTGTATACGTGATTTATTTTTTCAAAAATTGAATAAAATAAGATTGGTAATATAAAAACGAAAGCATAGAGAGGATGTAAAGGTGTTGAAAGAAAAAATTAAAACAAGGCCAAGATTTAAACATTTCAATGAGACTATTGCTCGCAAAGAAAAGACAATACGAAGTTTGCGGAATAAATTAAAAGTTCAACGTCTAAACTTACAGCTGAATAAGCTTCAAATTTCAAATTTTCGTTTGAAAAAAGAACTGCAATTCACCCAAACAAAGCTGTCTACTGAAGAAGTTATCTGACGTCAACAACTTGCTGACAAGAATGTAGAGATTAATGTCCTGCAAAATGATATGCTTATTTTACAGGAAAAGAGCAAATGCAGCAGAAAGTACAAAGCATCAGATGTAAAAAAGTCTACTCATCTGATATTAGGGCACTTATCTATGACATGCTAGCATGTCAAGTTCCTACACACAGTGTGCCCCAACTTCTTCATAAAGTAGGAGAACACTTTGGGTATAGATTTAGTGACATTCCACATCGCAAAACTGTAGAGCAGATGATGCGCGAGCTGGGTAATATTTCATAACTCCAGGCTGCTGAGATAGCATTCTCAACAAAAAATTTGACTCTTGGTTTTGATGCCACAACCCAGGAGGGTGTTCATGTCAATGTTGTGCACTTAACAAATGAATCTTCGTGCATGGTTGTCGCCATTGATCAGCTTGCTGGTGGTACATCTTATGACTATATGAGTCATATTACAAAGTCTGTGGATAATCTTGCTAAGTTGTATAAGGACTTTTACCGGAAACAATATACTGATGTACGAAGCACGATTATCAGCAACATAACAAACACAATGAGTGACAGAGTGGCAGTGAACCATGCAACTATAACAAAGTTAAACACTTTTTGGCAAAAATCTCTAAATGAACTGAACTGTCATCTTCACCCATTGGATACAATTACTTCTGCTTGCAAGTCATTGCTTAAAGCTTTGGAAACTTCAAAAGGCAAGCTTAGTAGAGATTGTTTTGCAGCAAACATTGTTGTTCAGTTAAATAAACTCCGTTACAAGGATGGTAAAGCTAAATAAATATGATAAATTCTTATCATATTTTTACTATAATCATGTCATCTTAATATTTTAAATTTATTTTATTTCAAGTTGTTATTTTGAATTTAAATCTGAACTTAATAAATATGTTTTGTTATACTTGCTTAAAATAAGTTTTTTGCATTGCACTTTTGGCACTTTTTTATATATGAAATATATATATATATATATATATATATATATATATATATATATATATATATATATATATATATATATATATATATATATATATATATATATATATATATATATATATATATATATATATATATATATATATATATATATATATATTTAAACAATTTAAAATGTATTCTACAAAAAGAGTGCTCAATGTTCTTAAAAGAACAGAGCAATTACAAATTAGTAGAAAATCAGTTAGCAAAATTTTTTCTCATTTAACACTGTGTTTCATCAATAAAGACTCATCAGAAATGATGTATAATGATGTATATATATATATATATATATATATATATATATATATATATATATATATATATATATATATATATATATATATATATATATATATATACACTTACTAAAGCGTGTTTTGATAAGCATTTGCTCACTTTTTGTGCTTACTTTAAGGTAAACCGTTTTTTTCGAAAAAGAAGAAGAAAAAAACGAAGAATGATAAATAAAACGATTGCTTCCCCATACCAAACCCTCAGTCGATGTAGCAGCACTCCACTGCGAGTCAGGCTATTTGTCAGTCGTTGTATGTACTGAAGCCCCCAGCAGCCGGCTATTTCAGTATGACGTCAGATTGCTTACTAAAGTACGGAATACTATTTGTATATATATATATATATATATATATATATATATATATATATATATATATATATATATATGTATATATATATATATATTTTGCTTTGATTCAAAATCAATTCAAAAATAATAATTCTAGCTTTTCTAATCATTTTTTATTTTGTGAGTTGTTTTTTGAGGTTTCCTATATTATATTTATCATATATATATAATTATTCCCTAAAATAAGATATTTTGTAAATGACTTAATGATAAGGGTACAAAAAGTTTATATATATAGATATTTTACAATTTTTCTACTTATAGGAATTGTTTAACAATCTGTCAAAAAGAAGAAAATTAAATTCTGATGAAAAAGAAGATGTTTGTCATCTTTTGTGCAAGTGGCTTATTAAAGATCAAGTTATGAAGGAAACTTTTTTAGGTTTTCTTTAACATTTTTATATATAAGTTGCATTGGAATTCATACTTATCATACTTATGTTTACTCTACATTAAACTTTTTATAATGTTACTTTTTTTCTTAGGTAAAAAAATTACTCTCAAAGATCTCCATAACTTAGCCGCAAAACAGTAAGGTACCACAGATTTAAAATCACTATTTGCCGTCTTTCAAGAATGTAATGGTTAGTATAAATAATTTTTTTTTTAAACAATGTGCAGCAAGGAAACATATATTGATTTCATTTTGACAGCATTGAAGTTTTTTTTAATGATTCTTTAAATGTAAGTTTAAAAATTTGGAAGTTAAATAATATGTTTTTTGGCGTAGTTGGGAAGATATTTCTGTACATATATTGATGGACTGTTAGGAACAGCATTTTTCTTAAAGAACAGAGCAGTAATAAATTATTAAACAATTAGAATCAATCTTCTACAATACTTTGCTCTTAATATAAGTTTATGAAGCAAGTTGTAATATAATAATGAAAATAAGTTGAATTTAAAATAATCCTAACTGAAAAAAGGCTTTAATTAGGTTATTTAATTAAATGCATTTTTTAATATCTTGTATTAAGATTTGTTTGCATGTTTAAACAACTTTTAATTATATTCTTATTATTATTATTTTTTTTTAGTTCTACCTTGACATTCTACACTACGACATGACATTAGTTTAGTAAAAAATTATAATCGACATTATTTAGGTAACAGCACTTTTGTTTGTTTTTTTGGCATTACAAAGTAATTATGTATATGTTGAGAATTTGTGTAATAATTTATTGACATTTAAGTAATTATTGTTTTTTGTTTCAGGTTTTGACTATTTCTATCTCTACTCTTGAAAATAATGTATTATTCTTCAATAATATGGGAGTATACTGCTTAAATGAAATAATATAAAATGCATATCAAACTAAAAAATTATATTTAAACTTACTTTTAACAATATTTTTATGTAAAGATGGTCTTGTTATCAAAATAAATTATTATACTATAGTATATCAGATTTATTAACATAGACAAATATAGCCTCAAAATGTTACTAGGATAAGGCTACATGTGCTAGGTCTATGTTTTGTGAATCCAGACCCAGCGCAGTAATAAAGTAGTAAACTTATCTAACTATTTACTAAATGTCAGGAAAATATGATAGTTTGATATGGCAATATAATGGCACTAGCTTGCACTTGAGGAAGTAGCTTCATGAAGAGCAATTTCATATCCACATTTAAGAGGGGATTATGCACCAGAGTTTGTCCTCCTAATAAATTTATATTCTCTTTAACCACAGACCTTCTTCTGCCCCAATGTTCTTTTTCAATGTAATTTGATTTTCATTTAAAATAAAGCACAAATCTGTTGAATATATAACTTTTTTTCTAATAGGACCAGATTTTGAACTTAGAACAGATGAAAATGTTATCATAACTGGAATATTTTTCAAGACTCTGAAATGAAGTGATTTTTTTGGTTTATATCCCGAGTTACTTTTGGTTGATGCAACTTATAAGCTTACTAATTTGAGAATGCCTTTATACGTTCTTCTTGTAGTCGGACCAAATGGCGAAAGTGAAATTGCAGCTATATTTTTAACTGCATCAGAAGACTGTGTTTTTCTTTCAACAATGTTTGAAATATTCAAGGAAAAAAATAAATAAACTGGAGTAAGATATTATCTGTTTTTACTCGCAAAGACATGACAGAGCGTGAATGCATTAAACATGCATTTCCACAAATTAATTTATTGTTGTGTATATTTCATGTTTTGCGTTGTATGAGCAGAGAAATAACAACATCAAAAATGAATATATCTGAAGCTCAAAGACTGGTTGCTTTAAAAACTCTCCAAAATATGACATATGCAACTACTGAGAAGGAATATGAAGCGTAGCGTGATGAGTTTCACAAAGTTATGCCACCATCTGTTGTTAAGTATGTTGAAGTTAATTGGCATGCTTGTAGGTTCGAGTGGGTGCGTTGTTGGCAGCAACAAAATGTAACTTTTGGAGAATGCACTACTAATCGTCTTGAATCTATTAATATTAGAATTAAAGCTGTTGTTTCTTTGTTAAGTCCTTTACCTATATTCTTCAAAGATTTGCTTACTGTTATAGCCTGCATGCGATAAGAAAGAGACCATAAATATATAAAGACAACAGAACGGGTTCCTGTTAGTGCAGTCACAAGTTTTCAATATGAACGTGATTATAAAAATATATTAACTCTGTTTGCTTTTTCTTTTGTTAAATCTCAGCTCGATGAATCTGTCAGTATAGATGGGGAGTTAGCAAATGAAGTCATACAAACTTCTGGAAAAATTGAAACACTATCTGAGAACAGCTGCGATTGTTTATTTACAAAGTCTATGGGTTTGTCATGCAAACACATGTTTGCAGCTAGAAGAATTAAGAAATTGCAAATGTTCTCTGCAAATTGTATTGCTCCTAAATGGTTTAAGGAAAAAGTGCAGAAAAATCATCGCGTTTTTCTAAAGAACGATCAACATGATAGCCATATAAAATTTGCAAAGCTAAAGGATAAACCCTTGACCCATGTAGAAAAATATTGTCGCGCTAATCGACTTGTACAGCATTTATCTGATTTAGCAGCAGAAGGCGGATCATCACAGTTTGAATGTAGAATGAGGGTCTTGCAAAATTTAGCAAGTATTTGGGGTTCTAACAAGGAAGCTAAGGTAACTTCAATTCAACATCAATTTGTTGATTTTAATATTCAAAACGGAGTTTCCAAGTTGGAAATGGAAGATGATAAATTTAAGTCTGAACTGCATGAAAGAAAAGTAAGATGTTAACACTTTAAGATTTATTGGCATTTGAAATGCTAATTTGGCTGCTATAAATTTTTAAGTATTTTAGTATTCATAATTGTTTGTTTTCCAATTATAGCTTGAAATAACAGATTTAAGTGAACAAGTTGTTGATGTTGTTAATGTTGAAGAAGTTGATAAAAACAGTTTTGATCAAAACTATAAAGTAAATTGTGGTTTGTTTGACTTAATTTTTAATTATTTATTTTATGAAGGTAAATTGTTTCGTTTCTAATTTCAGTTTGAAAGACCAGCTTGTAGTGGTAAAGTTGAAAACAATGCAGTTCAAAACTATATGGTATGCTTTCATTCTTTTTCCCTATTAAAAATATTTGTTTTATGAAGTTAAACTTTTTTATTCCCAAATATAGTTTGAATGACAAGGTTTCAGTGGTTAAATTGAAAGCATTGCAGTTCAAAACTATATAGTAGTAGTAGTAGTAGTAGTAGTAGTAGTAGTAGTAGTAGTAGTAGTAGTAGTAGTTGTTGTAGTAGTAGTAGTAGTAGTAGTAATAGTAGTAGTTGTTGTTGTTGTTGTTGTTGTAATAGTAGTAGTTATGGTTTGCATATAAAGATCTGTAATATTAAGGCATTTCAACCTTTCGCCATATGTCGAATTCCTCAATAAAATAATAAATCTTGTAAAGTAATGTTGCACTTTTTCTAAAGTTTTAATTTCACCTTTGAATAAAAGAGACCAAACTAGCACTGCAAATTCAATAATGTTGTATACAATAACCTAAGCATATGTATGTCAATAGAAAAAGTTTTTTTCCATATCCCTATCATTCTATTTGCTTTTGAGGTACAAGTTATATGATCTTTACATTTCAAGTTTGAACAATATAAAACTCCAAGATCTCTTTCTGAGTGATTTTCGTCCATAGAGTATTCATACTTAATAATTTTTATACCTAAATGCATAATTATACATTTATCAGTATTAAATATGACAAGCCACACCTTTGACCACTCAACAGTTTTATTTAAATCTAATTGAAATAACTTATATCTATCTTTGGCCTGACTAATTAACTTAGTATCTTGTTTGGGATGTTCAGCTTGTCATCTTTGATTTTTTGAGTTACAAAATCCTTCTTTGGTTCTTCCGCACCATAGATGATTACATTGTTATCTCTGCTCTTGATTTTAGTGTGTTGAACAGCCAACAGTTTTAAAAGTTATTTATTTTATGACAATAAATAGTTTTATTTCCAATTATAGTTTGAAATAGGGTTTGGACAAAAACCGACTTTTTGAAAAACCGGTTTTCGAATTCTAAATTCTCCAAATAAACGGTTTTAACTGGTTTTCGAATTTTTCTTTATTAAAATTGAATAAGGATGAATTACTTAGTTTATATATTAAATTTATTATAGTTTATATATTAAATTTATATATAGTTTTAAGTGCATCAAATAACAAATCTAAGTTTTTGGTTCCTTTATGCGTAGACTCAAATAAATTTTAATGAGGTTTTTTGCAGACTCTTCAAGAAACATTGTAGTTGAATTTTCCATGATTTTCTAAAAATTCTTTTTAAAAAGCTTTACTCTGATGAGCAATTGGATTTCCTCTTCGAGTTCTTCGATTTCCTCTTGATCTTGGTGTTCACAATAGAGTTTTATAACAATAGACAATAACTTTTTAGACAATTCAATAATGTCGATTTTTGAAGCTAAAATAAACATACTAGATTTTTTTGCTGGGCCGTAAATGTTTTCAGGATTTTGCAAATTCAGTAAAAGAATTGCTAATTCTTAATTTAATACATAAATGTACATTTATAAATACATAAACATAATATATCCATACATTTAAATACATTTGATAAATACATATAAATGAATATTAAATCAAAACTATTCGAGAAGATTTTGTTTACCTAAAACTTTGTGTTTTACATCCATATATTTTTAGACAAGCAACTGTTTATATTCGAAGTCTAAGTAGGGCCCTGCGAATTACCTTTTTAGGTATTGAATCCGAATCGAATCAGCCGTTGATTCGCAAATCAAGTCAAATCTCGTAACAAATTAGCTTTTTAAGGATATCTATATTTTAGTTAAACTTAGATTTCCTTAAAGTGGTAATTGGACTCGTGATTCAACTTGATTTGCAAATCAAGAATTGCTTCAAATCTTGATTTGATTTGAAACTAAAAATTATGATTCGCAGGGCTTTATTATTAAGAAACATTTTGGAAAAAATGAAATCAAAACCTCCATCTACCGCCGGAAAAAAGACATGCTTGCAGTGATAAAGTTGAAAGTAATGCAATTCAAAACTATATGGTATACATTTTTTTATTTTGCCCTATTAAAATTATTTATTTTCTGAAGTAAATTGTTTTATATCCAATTATAGTTTGAAAGAGCGGGTTGCAGTAGTAAAGTTAAAAGCATTGCAGTTCCAAACTTTACGGTATACTTTCCTTTATTTTCTTTATTAAAATTATTTATTTTATTAAGGTAAATAGCTTTATTTCCAATTAAAGTTTGAAAGACCAGGTTTCAGTGAAGTGGAAAGCAATGCAGTTCCAAACGATATGGTATACTTTTATTTATTTTCCTTATTAAAATTATTTATTTTATGAAGATAAATTGTTTTATTTCCAATTACAGTTTGAAAGTCCAGGTTGCAGTGATGAAGTTGAAAGCAACGTAGTTCAAAACTTTATAGTTCCTTGTAAAGGTATTATAGATTTGGCAATATTTATTTCTTGTAACTTTGTACATGTAACTTGTATTTTTTTAACATTGTAAATAAATAAAAAATCAGATTTTTTTCACTAAAACAAAATGGAAATAGGACAAAATTAATACATAATACAATCATTACCATCTCTCACTCACTCTGGGTACATTTGGTACATCTATTGATCTTTTTACTTTTCTAAAAAAACATCTTTTAAACTTGTCTTAAAATGAATATTGCATCTGTTGTTCCCTTTCATGGTCTTAAACCAAACTGTGAATTATTGATATATCCATTTCAATTTCTAGTACGTCTTCACCTTTTATAAACTTTTATTTAGATTTTTTTACAATCATTTGAGTTTTAACTTAAATGTAATTCATCTGACATGTGACACTTACTCTACACCCACATCATCTGAAACTCAACATTTCAGCTGATACACCAGGATAATCAACAGGCTAGCCTAATAAAGCTGTACCAAAAGCTATTTCAATTCATTCCTGGTTATTAGCTCTGCTGGTCCATTAATATTATTCACAACAGCTAAACTGTTTTCATTATGCCGATTTTGTTTAGCAATCTACCTTGTTTTCAACGCAACTGTCTTTGTAATTATTTTTCTATTTGGTATTTTAATACAACCTTCTCCAACAATGTGTATACTTTGTTGGAGAACTCTGAATACTTATGAATATTTTTTCCTCTGCATCAACTATTTTTTCTAATAACTTCTGCCTATGTGATTAAGCTTTCTTTTAATAGCTTAGCCAAGACATTTCTAGACTTTTTCCATATGTAACAAAGTTTTTTAAAGTTTTACCATTCATTCCACTACCATCCAATCATTTTAGAGCTGCCACCTTTCTTACACATCTTTTTCAGGGAGTATATGTTTGTTTTTCTTCTACCAGGCTTTTAAGCAATCTCGCATATTGAATCAAGTAACTAATATTCACCATTGAACAACACATCTTTCATCACACTGAAAGGTATACTTGCTTGCTTGCTACACATACATACTTGCTACTGGCCAATGTTCTATTTTTGCCAGTGACTTACCTGAGGCTAGTAAGTGATTGATAAAGCATAGCTGGATGCTAGGTTTGTGACCGGAGTTGCATAAACAATTAAACACCCTAAAGTATATTTATTTTATTTAAAATTCATGTTATATTTTGGGTATATAGGTATATATAAACACCATTATGATCAACATGATCATCATCATAATCATCATCATTATTATCATCATGATCATGATGATCATCAGTAACAGCATGAAAGAGGAAGGCTAAAGGCTGATGATGATCACCATTTTTTAACTAAAGCTCATTTATACAATATGTATGGCAATCTCTTCAAGTGTTCTTTCTTCTACCATTACCATTTTCTATCCTCTTCTTTTTTTTAAGTAACTTTAAGGGTACCACAAGGTTCTATCTTTGCTCCTGTATTGTTTCTCATCTACAATAACGATCTTCATGAAATCTAAAGTAGCTCTATTTGTTGGTGACTCAACTTTATACTCTTGTCTTAACAAAAAAATTTCACTTTTTAATTGCTTAGAACAAGCTGCCGATTTTAAATATGCTCTCTCTTCTGTAAGAGCCTAATGCTTCCAGCAACTTATGGATGTAAATTCTGGATTTAAAATCTACAGGCAAAAAAATCTCATTTATTTACTGCAAAAAAATAAGTGATGGTGCTTCTCAAAGAAATAATTTAACAACACTAGTAGTTCTAGATGGAACCCATTGGACAAAAGGCCCAGAGCAAAAAGAAAAGTTTTAAACTTTCAGTGAAACAGAAATGGTAGACAACCTTCACCCTCTTTATTTAATCAACAACTGCTTCCCAATGGATTCAAAATCTCAAAATACCGGATATCTAAGTTTATTTTTCTAAATAAAGAGCTAGCACTTGTTATTACAAACATTATATTCCTAAATTATAAGTTTGTTTTTGTTATTGCTAACATTAACTTTCTAATTTAAAAGTTTGTTCTTGTTATTAAAAACAACTTTTTGAAATAAAAGTTTGTTCTAAGTTTTCTTTATACCAGTATTATAAAAAATCCAAAACTATTTTTTATTTGCCATCACTTTTAAGTCTTTGAACAACAATCTAAAAGCACATTGAAAGTGTAATTAGACCTTACAACAATGGGAGAGTGCCACAAGCTTGGCAGATAAAGCAGGTCTAATTACACTTACAATGTGCTTTTAGATTGTTGTTCAAAAACTTAAAGCTTGTTTGACTATTGACTCAATAGTCAAACGAGTTTTCATCTCTATAACAATAAACCAAAATACATTCTTGCTTGGATTTTTATTCAACAAGTTGCATCCTTTTACTGTATTTGTCCCTTCATGCTATTAAAACTTTTATTAATCCGGTTTTATTCCTTAAACATCAAGTAAACCTTCTTACTCATCTTCTTGTTTTCTTTTTTTATGCAACTTACAACTTTTTAAGTCTTCAGTTATACATTTCTTAGTATTTTAACTTATTCTCTATTTTAAAGTAACTCATAAATTATGAATGGTTGCTTTCAGTCTTGTTGGAAGTAAATTAGAGTTTAAAAATATATAAATGTATTTATAAGTATTTATAAGTATTTATAAGTATTTATAAGCCAGTATTTAATAAGTAATAAATCTGAGGACAAAATTAAAATATATTAAGTATTAAATTTTTTTTTATAACTCTAGTTATTAACCCCTGATAGATCTTATGGTTTTGCTGGGGCCAGGGCCGAGTTTGCAGGGGCTGGGACCGGGACCCCTGCTAAAAGAGAGTCCCTTTGAGAGATGTTATATGAAATAAACACTTAGAATAGAATCAATTGTTAATGATCATTTATTTTTAGAATTTAGAAAGGAAACTGGAAAACATAAAAAAGAAATTATAAATTTCAATCAAATGGGTTGTTTAGATAATTCAAAAAAAAATATCATGTGATTCTTCTAAAATACCGGAGAACCAACTTGATCTCTCCCAAATTCAATTTCCATCCAAGTTTGTATCAAGAGGGCGTCCTAAGTCAATAAGGTAAAAAAAATGCTGTTGGTCTGCGTAAAGTTCAGAAGATCTGCTTGCCTTATGAACAGAAGACTGTTAAAGAAAAAGTTCATAGTAAGTATACATTATTATTTACTTGTGATCAATCAGAAATTTAAAACTGGCATTGGTTTAATCAATTGATTTGATGAACTGTTTAATTTACTTAAACTTTTTTTTTCAACTTTACAAGTTAATCTCAATGAGAAGTCATGAGTTAGGGTAAGTCACGGTAGAGAAAGTCAATAGTTTCACAAAGAATGATCTATTATATGGTTTAAAATTATGAGTTCTCTCCAACAAAAGTTGGTAACTAGCAAATTGGAACCATTAAATTGCAAATTCTATATAGACAAAATAAACTGTAATATAATTAAAATAAGTCATTAATTGAAACGCAAAACAAAAGTTGATGACAACGAATATTCGATATAAAGTTAGACCAAATTGCCAAAAAAATACAAGTAAGTTCACAGAATAGTAATAAAAAACCGCCTGAAAAAGAGGACCTTGTTTTAGATAAAATTAGAACAGCAAAAAAGACTAAGTATTATATTGGAAAAGTATTTTATTCAAATTCTGTTATAAAAGAAGTTAAAATCAGTTTTCTTTGCAAAAAAAGTTGATATTTTTAAGATGCCCGAATCCCCTGACATTTTGACTGTCTCTCAAACGGATGTTAAATTAATACTACCTCAACTAACGTTTTCCGGAACAAGTAAATGGCAGACTTGTAATGGCACAAGTTGGAGGTTGTGCTTGACTATATTAATATTTGTTGACTTTATTAAATTTTTTTTAGTAATAAAATAAAGATTGCAGATAATTTGTATAATTTCACCAAGACTATTTTAACTCTAGGCCTTTCAGTTAAGAAGAAAGATGGCGGCTGATTTATCACTACTACTGTTCTGATTTATCACTATTACTGTGTTTATTAGTGATTAGATTGAGAGTGTAAACTGTTATATTTATAATTTGTATTCTGTCTATTTTTTTAAATTCAGAATTCAATATTTATGGATTTATCTATTTATAATTTTTTATCAACATTTGGATTTTCTTTTTAATGTATCCAGATTTTAATATGACAATAATCACGAATTTGCTTTTAAAAACCTTTAAAAAAATCCACAATTTTAAGAAATACCTATAATTGAATTGGACTTTGATAACGAAATCACTAATTGAAAATACTCTAACAAGCTTTATATTGTTTTTTAAAAAAGATGATAAATTTAAATCCTAATTCCTTTTTTCTTTATTTTTTAGTTTAGTTGCGGCGTTTGCTAAAAGGAGGAAGGCCTAATGATGTTACAGTTGTAACACCTGCCGATACTATAGATCTTAAATTAGATGCTAAGGATCTTTCATCATCTCTAATGAATGAGATAGTTGTTTTTGAAATCCTAAAGCCATTTCTTACAGCACAAGCGTGGAAGATTTTAAGAGCCTCTTTTTTAAAACGCAAAACAATGAAAATTTGGAATTGTCCAATTTGTATTCTTAATGCTCCTACAGAATTGATTGAGTGTAGCAGTTGCCTTGAATGGTATCACTTTAATTGTGTCAAGGTGACGTCACCTTGACACAATTAAAGTGATACCATTTTTGTATCTTGGATGTCATGACATCCAAGATAAACAAAAATTGGTACTGTAGCACTTGCCTGTTGAATTCTGAATCTTGAAATTTATTGGTAGATAAAGTAGATTGTTGTTAAATTTATTGGTAGATAAAGTAAATTATTTTTAAATTTATTAGTAGATAAAGTAGATTTTTGTTAAATTTATTGGTTGATAAAGTAGCCTGTTAAATTTATTGGTAGATAAAGTAGATTGTTGTTAAATTTAGCAATAAACTTCATTTATTTACATGTTTTTTATTAATATTAACTGTAATATTAAAAAGAGTTTTTAAAACATATTTATGTATATTTATGTATATAATTACTACTAATAAAATATTTATGGAATATTTAATACTTATTGAATTTAGTTGCTTTGTACAAACAAGGTTTTAGTAGTTTTAGTAATTTTAGTAATTTATAATTTTTATTCTAAATGTAGCAGTCCGGTTTTAGGTTTTTGGTAAAGGCCTAATGGGCAAATTTTGAATATAATATGCAGGGTGCGTTAAATGAGGACTTCAGACTTCAGGAACGCGCTAAAGTTGTGTTAAAGTCTTGCTAGTCAATGCATGCTTAAAAAAGTATTATGATATATTTCATGGAGCCGGGTTCGTTGAACCTTCTATTGCTACGTCAAACTGTATTTTTTTAAACGAGCTTTCTTCGTAATAGTAGCAAAACTTAGCAATCAATCTAATTTACATAAAGTGATAAAATATATCAGCAATATAGTGTACATGTGCTGACAATACACTAAAATTTTTTATAAACAAATATAAAAAGTACTTTCTTAAAATTTATTGACAATTTGACAGTAATACGACTGTTTTAAGCTGATACTTTATGTATTCTTTGACAAAAAAAAAGAAATTATTCTAACTTCTCAGAAATTTATTTTTATTATAAATAGTTTTTTTTAATAAATAAATTTTTTTAATAAAAAAGTCAATAAAAAAAAAATGATAAAAATATTATTTTCAGAAGATACTGCTACTCAGTCGATGTAGCAGCACTCCATTGCATGTTCTCGCTGAATCAGTCGATGTATGTAGTAAAGTTTCCAACCCCTAACCTAATTTCTACGCTTAATTCCCTTATTTTACCCTTTGTTAATTGCTGCATTTCAGCATTTTGTATTTCCGCATTTTACACGTGACAGTTACAGTACTAATAAAAAGGAATCTGTTTTATGGCTTACGGCATTTATGTTTTTTATTAATAATATTATTATTAATAATAATATTAATAATAAAAATCCAAATGCTGATGAAAAAATATAAGGTGCTCTGAGAAATCCTAATGGTCTTTTCACAGACCACCGCCCCATATAGAAAAGCATTTAATAGATTAGCTCTCCATTTCCAACCTTACCAAAAGAGCTTTTGAGTCAAGCCGTGAAGCGGAACCAAGACTTTGCGGTCGGAGTCCAAACGGTTGACCTCTACGCATTGGTTGCCTACTACGCTACGGTTCATTGCTAAAATTTAGGTCAGAAAGCTTGAACCTATTCCAATGTTGTTTTCATTAGTAATTCACCTAAATTTTTTTATACATCAAAAAGTTTGGACTTATCTTTACCTTTTGTTTGTTAGGAATAGGTATAAATATTTCTACCGCGCCTGAATAAAAACGAAGACCAGATATATTACTGATTTTAGGAGAAATGTAGGAGAGTGCTGCTACATCGATTGATCTATACCTGTCTTAACCCAAACCCTCTGTCGATGTAGCAGCATTCCCTTGCATGTTATCTCTAAATAAGTCAATGTAGAAGCACTCTTCTACATTTCTCCCCAATTCAGTAATATATCTGGTCTTCGTTTTTAAAAAAGTCAAAACCTCACTTTGAGTCATAGTATCTTTCGCTCACCTTCAGTACAAGGACAATTTAGGATAACTGATTCTAGTTTAATAATTTGTTATAGCTTAAACATAGGAATTTGAAATTAAAAATTTAAAATTGTAAACAATGAAGAAATATGTGATTAATTATCAAAATCTGTGTTCAATCTGTAATAAGAAGTCATCAAACATTAATTGGATGATGTACCTACAAACCACCTACCACCTCAACAAAAGATGTTTTTGTTGAGTTAAATATAAAGTGTTTGTAATCTTTTCCGAAAAATCCAAAAATGTAAGTTGTAATTATCGGTGATTTTAATCATCATGACATTAATTAGAGTAAGACTTGAAGGGTCTGGTGAACTATAGTACTGTTATATTCAAATATTTGATTGATCAATATATATAATCGATTGGTTATATATATTAATAGCTATCTCATACAAAATATAATTGAGCAAAAGTTTTCAAAATCTATCTACAATATCAAAAATTAAACCACCACACTTGGTCCAATTTTTGGTATATGGTAACCATTTAAATTTTTAAGTAAACTTTAGAACTTTAATTCAATAACAGAAACAAAATTTATTTTGACAATCCAAAACAAACAAGTTGTATTGTAGAAAAACAAGGTTTTTCTCAATTTGCCAAAATCAATTGAAACCCAATCAAAGGCAGATGTTTTTGGCATTCAGGAAATGCTGGCTTACAAATATTTTAAAAACCCAAATAAGGTTAAAAAAGCATATTTTTTTATTATTTTCAGCCTCAAATAAACAAAATTCCATTAAAAAAATATATTCATATACTTAATTATGATATTTTCATATCTTAGTGATAACCTAATAATCATCTTTGTAGAGGAAAAAAATGAATAAACGCTTTGTTAAAGTGATATGTACAATATAAAATGGATTATTAACGTGGGTGAAATATAAAAGCATCGAAAATATTTTACTGTAGTTGAGAACTTTTAGAGCTTTTGATATTTAGGTTGTAGGACTTTTTTTTTTTTTCTATAGGAACATAGAATAAAAGTGTTTATCTTACTTAAATTAGTATAGTTATTAGTCCAACATATCGTTATTATTTTAGCCTGATTTAAAGATATTTTACTGTTATATTAATGTTTAATTTTTTTCCAAATTTACGCATATCAATATTTTGTTATGTATATATGTTTTTAAGTTCTATGTTTGCTATTTTTTATGTTCTACAAAAACTAGTATTGATTTTTTTATATTTTTCTTAAAAGAATTATTTGTTTTGTGCAATTTGGAAATTGTTTCTTTATTAAATTTTTTTTTTTTTTTTTAGTTCATTCATGAGTTTCTGCTCTACTTCATTTTTTATGTTTAATTTGACTACTGTTGAAATATGGTTTCATTTAGTACCTAATTATTATTGCAACCCTGAAATTGCATTTTGATTTTGCTACTTTGCTGCCCCTTAATGGTGCCGCCTGAGGCGGCCGCCTCTTTGTATCATAGCACCGCACGGCCCTGTATACAT